CAATTTACTCGCGTTTATTTCATACTTCTTCACTCGCGTTCTATCAAAGTTTTGTTCGATAGTAGAGTCTAAAGTAATATAAATTCGCGGTTTCTCCCTCTCTAAATAAATCGCGTTTCGAAGCACTTTTCGCGTCGCCCATTCCACAGTGACTCACAATTCGTGAGTTTGTGAGTCTTGGAAAATCAACGCTTGGAGGAAGGATGACCATCTGAGAGGAAGGAAGGAAGGAAGGAAGGATGCAACGAAATCGACATTGCAGAGCCCAGCTGCCTGTCTGCGAACTGTGAGTGAATTTTTTGAGGGTTTGGTGATTGGTTATATATGTGTGTGCATGTGCATGTTTGAAGCTGAACTACCAAAACTTGGAAGAAGAAATCAAAGGATGTGAGTTCACATCCGAACTCTACTGCACTAAAGGTGCAAACGCCCTCCCATTATTAGAGTATCCCAATAGTATACCGCGTTAATTCTTAATAGAGTCAATTTTCACTACGAATGCCCATTACTTTCGATCGATACGAGAATTTATTACGTCGCGCGTTTTGAACGTCATAGCTCGCTAGACATTATTTTCAATTGAAAAAAAGAAATTATAAAGCATAATACTATAATCCTATGCTTAAAATGTATTTTCTTGTGGCCGCCTGACAGCAACCTGTAAATCTGGCGTGACAGTGAACGTGTTAATAAGTAAATGTTGTTCAAATTATGTCGTGTTTTATGTCATTTTCATCAGAAAAATCTCATCAATATGTTAAGAAAAATTTCGGGATAAAAAAACGTAAAATTAAAAAAGTTGATATTTAAATCGCTTGGTTGCCCAACTCACTTTTCAGGCTTAACTTTTATTCGCTGTCCTTGGCTACGTTCGGCAAACTACAAAGGCGGGCGCGAGGCTCGAAAACGTAGTCCCTGACTCTACGAGTGTCAGGTTTAGCTTCGTTGCGGTCTGACACTTCTGGAGAATATACTGTATTTGTAAAATTCTTGTCAATTCTGCTCAATGCTGTAAGCCATTCTTGGCCACGAAAAGGGCCACGCATTTGGATGCTAATAAGGATTAGTTTTCGCTGAGGAAGCCCTTCCCTGAATTTTACACGAAATCCTGATGCATGGAGCACGATTTTTACAAACTTACAATCTTTTATCCAATTTTAAGTCACCTCCTTGTCAAAAACAATTTTCCGAATCCTTTATTACGAATCCTTTTTATAAAAATGAAATAGCACTTTTAGCAAGAAAAAGAATTGAAGAAATCTCTACGCCTAAAATTGTTAAAAAATTTCCATCTAAAAATTATAAAATCAATTTCAATCGAAAAATCTCTAAGGAATGTGTCATAAATTTGTTCTCATAAAAATTGTCCAAAAATCAGACAAACTTGAAAACGCATAAATACTATACAGCTTGGGTAAAATTGTGATAAAATTTTTGAAGGAAAAATTTCGAACAAACGTATCGTAAATTTACCTGTTCAGCTAAAAATTATTGAAACGTCACGAAAACTCAAAAACCCGTAGAGAAGTTGGATAAATGGTAGATTTCTCCAATCTTCTCTACACTCGACGGATAAAAGAAACACGTTCTGGGTAATTTGTCTTTTCTGATACACCGGGGACAAAGTGATCCTGCACTTGTGCTGCAGGAAGCATCATAGATGACAACAGATCCGTTGTGTACAGAAAATCGTGTCCAGTGAAAGCGCAGGCTACCTGTTGACTGGACACACAGAATCAATACGTCTCCGCGTGGGTGGACAGAAAAATGTGGGAAGCTTCGAGTGAACCGTGGAACGTTTCTTTCTGCCACGTTGAATTCCAAAGCTGGCTCGACTCACGGTGTTCCCCCATTTTCCACATGGAATCCGTTTGTCATCGGCTACCCTGGAATTTCATTTCTGCACGCTCGACAGCACCGATTCTCCCAGCAATTGGACAACCTCTCGATTAACAGATAGCTCGAACTTATCATCCAGTTGGAGGGTGTTTTGTCTGATTTAAGTGCATCTTGGCTGTCGAGTTATTTCGTTCGAAAAAATTTCGTTGCTTCCTCGGAGAGACTTTGATTTCTTTGACTTGAATTGGCGTTTGAATTATGGTGTTTGATACGTGGAGCTCAAGTTGGAGCTATACAGAATGACACACTGCGGGAAATGTGTAATAATTTGAACGGAGGAGAAGGTCTAAATATGAGCTACCAATTTTCTTTTTTTTTATTTTGAGATTTACGTCGCATCGGCCTTCGAAAATTCCAGAAAACTACCGCAAAGATGACGAAAGGCGAAATATCGAGTAGAGTTCGAAATTTTATACGACCTTAAAAAATTCAGCTCCCCTTTGTCCAGGTTCTGAACCTCGCACGAAACTTCCCCGCTCAGAGGCACGATTTTACAATTTTTTAAGAGCTCCTCTCCTCCGTGGGGGAACATCTCGTAAAGTCCCCCGTTTCCATAGAAAGCAGGGGGGAAAAGAAGCGTTAAGGAAACCAGAATATCCAACGAGAAAGGGATTCGAACGAAGGGAATAACGCGCTATCTCGATCACCCCCGATATCGAGAGATCGTTTCACGTTTCCTCAGCCTCTCGTGTCCCTCTCGCCTCTCGAAGAAGCTCGTTCGCGTAAGAAGAAAAGAAAAGAAAAAAAAAGGAAGAAAATAGGAGGAAAAAGGGTCAGAGGTAGTAGGTGTACGAAGGCAGAGTACAATTCTCGTCGGCGAAGGAAAAGCGAGACTAGGCGAGATTTCCCGGCAATTTTCCTCCTCGATAACTAGATTGCACGCGACATTAATAACCTCACTTTGCGGCTCTGTAAACGCTACGAGACCGCGAGTTGCGGTGTTTTAATGTTTCACTTTACCTGGAAGCACAGCAGGTGGATAATGAATTATCGTGAAAATTATCGGGGAGGTATGGCGAAGATTGATCGAATGGATTGTTCTTATTTTGGAAAGTCAATGGTCGCACAATGTGATAGGACTACGGAAATAATTAGTTAATATATGTGTGTGGGATAATAAAGCGCAATTTGTTGGAACCGCGTGACAGAGATTGAATTTATTCCCGTATTTCGTTCGACTACCCCAAAGAGTCAAATAATTCAGCAATTCCTACCAACGGGTAATATGTCCGATTGAATGGATATGGAATTAGCACGGAATGTATAATAAATTTCCCCGGTGTATTATTATTAACTTCAAAGAATTGCCTCATTCTTGGAATTCGACTGTAATTTCGAAATTTAATTACCGCACGTCGTTTTGTCAATGCCTTTTACATTTCTGAAAACACTGTTTTTGGGCACATACACTACCGGCCAAATGTTTGGAATCACCGTGCATTACAAGTTATACAAAAATTTCCAAAACAAAGTTAGCAATTTTAAGAATATTTTAACCAATTTTTCCTCGTTCAAATCAATCGAAATAAGGTAAAATACTATCGATCTCCGCAACGTCAATTTCAAATCTGTAGGAACCGACGGAAAAATATTGAGGGACCCCAACCCGGGATCTTCGGCTTACCAAGCCGAGGCTTTGCGCGCTACGCCAACCACTCCCTCTCTATTCTCCCTTCAAGGTTTCCTATTTGGGTATGGAGGGCCCCCGATACTACACTCGGCCATCCTGAACTGACATTCGCCCTCGAATGTCCCTCGATGCAACACAACTCAACTCAACACTGTGGGGTACACTCCCCCACACAGTGGAACTCTCATCCGAAACTCTGTTTCTCAACTCTTTTTGGGAGACGTGCTCAACCCTCTCACGTGTTTTTTTCATCTCACAGCGCCTGGCTTCGTGCAGCCGTTGATGCCTCCATCCCGGACGAGCCCCCATATGTAGGAACCTAGGGAAAAATATTGAGGGACCCAACGGGAATCGAACCCGGGACCTTCGGCTTAGCAAGCCGAGGCTTTGCGCGCTACGCCAACCACTCCCTCTCTATTCTCCCTTGTCGGTTTTCTATTTGGGTACGGAGGCCCCGATACTACAAATCTATAAAAAATTAGCAGCGGATTCAATTTTACTGTAAATCAGCAGGTGATTCGAAACTTTCGGCCGGTAGTGTATGTTTACGGAACTGTTTAAGTACTAAATAATTTTTTTAAATTATTTTTTCGAGCCTCCTTTTATCTTTGCTGATGGTTCGAGTTATTCTGGAATTAAGCAATTTCTTAGTTTTTTTTTATTCCTCGAATTTGTTTCTATTTTTTAATTATCGAAGCTTTTCTCTTGTTTCTTTATTCAGAACGACAGTGTACCTCGAAGAATTGCTCTAATCTCGAAATTTATTCAGTACTTGGAGGCAGAAGCTTTAACGAAATAATTAAATTAGCAATATATGAAGAAGTTGCTCCAACGTCGGAATTTATTTGGCAATTAGCATATTCAAATTTTGTGTAAAAAACTTAGTAATGACTCACATTTCGCTTAATCGCAGATTTTAACCAGGAAGCTTCAACGAAATAATTAACGCGCGCAATCCTACCTTAAAAAATTGCTCCAATCTCGAAATTTATTCACTACTCGGCAATTGAAATTCTGTCTAAAAAATTGAGCAGTGATTTACATTTCATATCATCCCAGATTTTAACCTAAATAGAAGCTTCAACGAAATAATTAAAACAGCAATACGTCTAAAAAAAAATTGCTCCAATCTCGGAATTTACTTAGCAATCAGCATATTCAAATTTTGATTTATATTTCGTTTAATCTCAGATTTTAACCAAAAAGCTTCAACGAAATAATTAACGTGCGCAATCCTACCTCAAAAAATTGCTCCAATCTCGAAATTTATTCACTACTCGGCGATTAAAATTCTGTTTGAAAAATTCAGTAATGATTTACCAAGTTTTTCTTTTTTTAGAGGTAGAAGCTTTAACGAAATAATTAATGTGGTAATAAAAGGGAAGAAAACTTTCGTTCTACGAACGAGCTTCTTATACCAGGTGTACTCAAGTATAATTAAGGGAGAACGGTCTCGTTGCTATTTTTACAGTCCGTGGGAATAGAGGTGCGGGTAACCAATGAGGTGCCTGGTAACACGACAGAGGAGATCGTCGTGAAAGATGCACCACCACCTTGGACGGCGATGTCCGTACCCAGCAGTCGGACAACCCCGCCAACCCCCACGAATCCGCATCTACAGTACTTGTCTCCGCATGTGTTCCAAGGGCGGAACTCTCTCTGCTGCACCAATGGTAAGATTCCATTCTTTTTCTGTCTTCTTTTTTTTTTTCAATTTTTCCAAGGGAACACGTCAAACTCACACGCTCAGATCTTGATGAAATTTGTATGGGAGACAGTTGATGGGAAAATATTTGACACGTATTTTTTTTTTTTATCGATGTTCGTTCGTGTTGAAGGAGTGAAAACGTCCGGAAATTTAGGGGTTGGAAACGTGTTTTCTGGAATTTCTAGAAAAGTAGAGGACCTCCAAAGAAAACTTTTTTTTAATTGAGTATTTTGGAACGAGGAATTCCCAAGGTATTTCGGAGATAAGGAATTTAAAAGAATTTGCAAGGTTAAAGAAAGATTCATGTATTTCACGATGCATAGAGGGAATGAATTTTGTTAAAAATAATTGAAAATTTTTTTTGTAACAATTTAATCATTGCACAGTAGGTCAACAAGTAGAATAAATCGTACAGATGCGTCTGTGTGTGTATCTACAGCAGACCTTCCATTAAGGAAGAAATGTTTTAAATTCAATGTCATTTTTACGTTACATCAAAACTCTCTTGACCAATCGAGAACGCAAATGGGCGCTTGACAGCCATAATTTCTGCAACACACTGCTCTGGAATCGAGAGTGAAAGCAAACTGCTAAATCAACAATGCTTCGGTTTATTTTCAGCAGACTGAGCGCACCGGTTCATGTTAAATTCGTTCCGACAAATTTAAACGAAGCCAAACGTTCCGCTGTAAGAGCATTACATCCCGGAAACCATCGATTCTCCGTCTGTTTGATGAAGGGATCAAGCGTGGCCCTGGTTCCGTTCTTATTAATTGCCAGCTGCATGGCTGATTAATTCTCTTTTTCGTTCCGTTCGCCCTTTTAAGGAAAGGAGTACTCTTCGTTCATGTTTGAACAGATTGAACGTTTGTTTCCGAGAGACTTATCGAAAGAATTATCAGAAATATTAAATGGAAGCGGACGGGAGAATTTAATTACCAGTAAGAACGATGAAATTATTCAGAGAAACTTACTTCGGGGTAATTTTAATACATTCCTGTCTGTATTGTTCTTTTATTTTTCTTTGAAGAATTTACTATTTATCGGCGAAAAGTGTTGAAAGAAGCTGACGTAAGCATCGATCATTTTTCAAGTTCGTTTCTTTCCTCGTTGCATGCCGAACTGATTCGATCAAACCATCAGAGAGTCAAGTATCAATGTTTCGAATTTTCTACCCATTAGTTGGAACAATTTTTCTGCAAGTTCGATTAAACCGAAAGGTCAGTGTTTTCCACGCATACAGTTGGTTCCATTATTTGATTGAAAATCCTGCTCGAAGCAGCTGAGAGTTCATATTACTCGTGAAATAGCAAAAGAGTGAAAACTGGTTGTTTGGTCAAGCTGATAAAATGGATAAAATGACTTAAATGGCAAAAAATGGAAGAAATGGTGAAAATCGATAATAGGATATTTAAAACAAATACGAATATTTCGACTTTCTTGTTTCTTCCTTCGAAATGTGAAATTATAATTAACCTAGATTTGTCTCTTAATAAACGAACCAATATGGGGTTGTAGAGGATTAAAATTAGCCACATTTATGGCAACTCTATTTACAGATTACACGCTGCGTAGAAGGCGTCCAATGACGCTTCGCATCGGTCCACGGCTGAGCCTGCCAAATAAAAGCACATCAGCCCCAACGACCACCACGGATGGGGAATGGCCAGTACTCGGGTAAGTGATTGTCCCTGTTCTCTCCACTTTTCCCTCATAGAACCAATGTTGCGGTCAAAAACTGATCCATTTCGATTTGAAGCATCGAGAGGAAGTATTTTTCCTCCCTTTGGAAGTGTTTTCTTTCATTCGTTGCTTGATGGATTGCGTTTGATGGTTTTCAGTGCCATGGGGTTGCCCGTGACCTCCATACTCATGTGGCGTATCGTTTATAAATGGTGGGAAAGTGTCACCCAAGTGTACGAAGACAAAGCGACTTTTTTTTGTGAAAGTTTATTTGACATTGGGTTGGTTGAAGGGAGGACTACCTTTGTTTTGAATAAAATTTGGAAATGAGAGTTTCTAGGCTTCCACTTTTATTTAAACGAGAGAGTTTTCAGCAATTGTAATTCAATACTTTCGATTTGTAATAGAATATTTTCAGTACCTGTTAGAAAAAAGTTCGTACAGAAGGGTTGATGTTTGTAAATTAGAAGAAAATTCTATTTTACCATTGTTTCATCCCTTTACGAATTTTTTTCTAAAGGAAATCACTTGTTATTCTTACGATATCTGCTTTATCGACTGTCTTTTTCACTCTAGTATCAAATTCTGCAATATCGACATCTGTTTTACCCTCAGATGAAAGAATACTAACCCAAGATGTACCTATAGTTGGTACATTATCTACAAATCTTGAATTAGTTACTTTACTACCAATGGTAAATAAGGAAACTGAGTTATCTAATGCCGATAATAGGTACCAGGATAGTGTAAAGTAGAAAATATTGATTACATTTTAACGAACACAAAAAAATAAATATTATTCCAAAAAGTTGACTGTCTGAAAAATCCACTTTTCATCCAATTTCATATTCCAAAATTTTTCTCACTTTTCACTTCAAGCCACCCTTATCGTCGATCCAGAGCAACCGCCGAGTTTCCTGAGCCCTCACCTGGAGGTCGTCGCGACGCCGCCACCCCTCGTGGTTCCCCCGTATCGCAGGTTTTGTTGTGACCGCGACGGCTTTGTCGACAGTCGCGCGTGATTGCGGCCGAGCAGTGCGGATTTAAGATCGCTCCCGTTCCAAACAATCGCGTGTGCCGCGCCTTTCACCGTCCCCTCGCTCCTCTGGCCCTTCACCCTCGTCACAACGATCGTTTTCCACCCTTTCACGTCTCAGTCGTGGCCAGCACGCTCGTCCACGGCCACTTGCAGTCCCTTTTTTTCGCCGTGATTTCTCACCTTCGTTCGACAGGGACGTCGAACTACGCGCGAAACTCGGCGGAACCTGTGCCCCTCGCCTCCTGTCATGTACACGTCGAAACTTTTTCCGCTGTTTCGAGTATCTGAAACTTAGTTGGACACGTGTCTGCCAGACACCTCGCGAGATTTCCTCGGGAAAACGTGATTACGCGAGTTTCGTATACTTTGGACAGTTGGTCCTCGAGGATGACGCTATTGTTCGTGGTATTAAGAAAGGCTGGAGCATCGTCGCCGAAGGATTTAAGGTTTACAACACTTGGACAACGCCTGGGATGAGTGTGTGACGAGACTATGAGGACTTCAACCGTGTTGGATGTTCTTGACGGAGACTGTTAGTGTCAACGGATAGTTTTCCACGCGGTGAGGGATTCTGACTGAGCAGCAGACCGAATAGGAAGATCTAGTGTCACTGGTGACGCATCCATGTGATATATGATCTGTTGAAGCGACGAACGTCAGTGACAGGTCCAGGAAGACCTGTTTAAACACTCTGGGTGGCAAAATAAACCCCTGTAAACGATTCTGATGGTCATCCAGTATCAATAGTGAAGATTCCACAGTAGAAATCTCTTTCAGAACAATAGATATTGTCTACAAGTCTAGGTTGACCTGTTCAGAGACTCTATGAAAGGAACAACCCTTTTTAAATTATTCCGACGAGGTTCTACTGTCAGTAGTGAAGGTTCCAGGTAACAGGAATCTTTTCCGGAGCAATAGACATCGTCTACAGCGGTATGAGGAGGCCAAACCTTTCTAATCGATTTTGACGAGGATCCAGTGTTAGCAGCGAAGATTCCACCTGATAGGAGTCTCTCCCAGAGCAATAGATACTATCTACAGGTCTAACTAGACCTGTTTAAAGACCGAAAGAGAAGAATAACCCTTTCTAAACGATTCCGACGAGGATCAAGTGTCAACAGTGAAAGTTTCGTATGACAGAAATCTCTTCGAAAGCAATTAGACGTCGGTAACAAGAATCCTGTTTAACGAGGATCCAGTGTCAGCAGTGAAGCACCAAACCAACACTCGTCAACTACCTCATCTAGTAAACATCAAGAAATCGCATCTCTGACCTTATCTCTGTGAAAATGTGGCAAGAAAAGTGTGCGTCTGATAAAGGATCGTTACTCCAGTGTCCCGTTAATCAGAAGATTTAATTAAACCGTTTGAAAGAGGACCAAGAGGATATAGGTAAAGAATTTTCTCCCGTTCAAGTGGCAATTTTCGATGTTCCCCTCAGATATCTGGTCAACCAACTTCCAAGCAACCTGTTGATGGTCAAAAGACGAATGACACTGACGATTCTCAGTACAGAATTATTTCATAGGATAAGTTCGGCTAATTCGGAACCCCTTTAAGATCCATAGATCCAATCAGCTGATCAGCTAAGTAATTCAAACTTTGTCGCAAGGGGACATCGAAATTTCTGCCTCCTTGATGTAACCAATTTCTGGTTCTCATTACCTTATTACTCGATACCTCGAAGACCTGCAGTGGACGCGGAGGGAACTCAGTTACGCGTTTACAAAGCACGTCACGTTACGAAATCTGCATTTGTCGGGCTTTCACCGGGCGGTCTGTTGCAACAGCCAGACAAACGGTATCGAATCGCGTTCAGATGCTTCATTCTCTTCCTTGTTCAGCTCTGGTCTAACAGTTTCTATGTATGTGGTCCCCTTATGGTTCTCCTTAGCTCGTGTGATCA